TCTAGCCCTGCTCGCCAGAAAGACCCCCCCCTTCACTACAACCCATGTCTAAGCAAAAGCTTGTCGAGGAGCGAGGGGAAGAAGGGAGAGTAGGAATGAAGAATAAGTAAGAAAAAAACAAAAAAGATCCACATCTGGGGATGAAAATGACGTATCCCCGGGTTTTCGACACCATGGGTAGGGATGGGTTTTCCCCTCCGTGACCTGTATTGCGTGTTCTGTGCGTTCGAAACGAGGCAGAACAACCAATTTGATGCAAATGTGTTATTCCAGTCAGTAGACGACTCGAGAAAAAAAATCACGGCGAAATGAGTTGTCTACGTAAAATGGTGCTTGGTCAAATATGGGTACTCTTTCCTGATTTACCTTGCCGCTGTAACGGTAAGANTATGCGCAGCAGCAAGAAGGTTTCGGTCATCCCTTGAGGGTGAGTCTAGCCCTGCTCGCCAGAAAGACCCCCCCCTTCACTACAACCCATGTCTAAGCAAAAGCTTGTCGAGGAGCGAGGGGAAGAAGGGAGAGTAGGAATGAAGAATAAGTAAGAAAAAAACAAAAAAGATCCACATCTGGGGATGAAAATGACGTATCCCCGGGTTTTCGACACCATGGGTAGGGATGGGTTTTCCCCTCCGTGACCTGTATTGCGTGTTCTGTGCGTTCGAAACGAGGCAGAACAACCAATTTGATGCAAATGTGTTATTCCAGTCAGTAGACGACTCGAGAAAAAAAATCACGGCGAAATGAGTTGTCTACGTAAAATGGTGCTTGGTCAAATATGGGTACTCTTTCCTGATTTACCTTGCCGCTGTAACGGTAAGAATTCACGCCGAACACCGCCAAACTGTATCCACCATTGAGGAATACTCATTCATCCCCACGACACAACCTTTGGAGGGGATCTTTAAACATGAGTGAGAAACAAGTTCAGAATAAAAAAAAAGCCACCCCGGGGACAGAACCACCGCGTCCCCGGGTTTTCGGTCTAAACCCGTGCATCCCTCCCCCCCCCGGTACTGGAACGCACGAACGTCACCATCACATAGGGTACGAACCACACGACGTTCTACAGTGTATGTTTCGACTGTACGCACAATTCCACGCCCATAGGAGCACACCTGATGAAATATTAAAGGTCAAACAAGGATACTTTTTCCCTGATTTTAGGCTTGCTGCTACGGTAAGAATTAACGCCGAAAACAACTGTTGTTTCAAAACACCTTTGCACCCCCGCGACCAGCGCTTCTGAGGGAACCTGTGAGCATGTGAAAAACATCTATCGCAAAACACACACACACACACACACAGGTCACCCGGGGACAAAACGATGACACCCCCGGGTTGGGCACAAAACCTGTGCATCCTGCCCCCCGGGTGCTGGCACGCCCTAAAATCACCGTCGCATAGCCTACGAACCACATGCGACGTTCTACAGGGTGCATATCGACTGCGGGTACAACTTCATGACCATTTGGGCGTGTTCGATTCAAATCTGAACCCGTCAGGACACGTGACAAATATCCATACGGTTACACGTTGACAACGGGTGTCGGCGTCCGTTGTCGTCCAGCCCTGGACACGGAGGGCGCTGGTTGACGTTCCGACAAAGTCTTCCCTCCTGCTCCAGCCACCCGACCGCGCCCCCCCACCCGGCCACGCTCTCCCACACCGTGTCCACGACCAACACCGCGGCCCCCGCCTCCCTCCCCCCGCCCGCTCGCCTCACTATCGGCCATGCGCGCCTGCCGCAACAGCTCCGCGGCCGCTTTTTCTGCCTTCTTCTCTTCGCGGACTTTCGTCCTCGCAGCCTTAGCGTCGCTCTCCGCCTTGTCTGCGCGTTCTTTTTCGGCAACAGCTTTCAGGAACTCAGGCGCGGTAATGTTGCCTCCGTTGGGAAGGCCAAGCAAGACCCGCGAGGTCGCCATCTTCTTTGCGCGCTTCCTTTGAGTCAAGAGGCCACCGAGTAACACCGTGCCTACTCGGATTCCCGTGACGGTGTGCCCTTGCCCCCTCAGCAACCTGAGGGCCCTTTCTCCGATATCTTTTTCCAGCTGCTCATTGAGGGCGGCGACGGGGACAACCTGTAGGGGTGGGCGCTCGCCTCGCCGCTCTTTCTTCTTCGCTGTGCCCTTCAGCCGGCCCAGCGCCCGCTCCTTGTTCACAGGCCACAAGCCCGCCTCAGCGAATGATGATTTATTTATCTCCGGTGTAAAGCTCGATTTCCAAGCATCCGCGATCACGCCGGGCATGTCGCATTTCAGCGGCAACAACCCGCCGGAGTTGTGGTAGAAGAACGCCAAAACTCTGGTCACCGATTTCTTAAAGCGTCCGAAGGCGACGACATCCAAGGGCTGGGTGATGTGCGACGTGTGGGAGGGTAGCTGGAACAAGATGGTTTTGAGATTCATGGCCAGCCTGATTACCTCCACGCTCACGTGTGATGCAAGTCCATCGAGCAAGAGTTTGTGGGGTTTTCCGTCGAGCAACCCTCGGTCGCCGAGCTGCTTGTGGAAATCCTTCAAGTAGGCGATGAGTACGTCTCCCTGCATGAACGAAGAACCCGTACAGGTGTACCTCGCACCCTCCGGGCCGTTTCGCTCTTCAAACCCATCGGCCTGAAGTCGTTGCCCTTTGAAGATAATGGTTGGTGCCCACGTGTGACCATCAGCGCTGATGGTAGCGACCACGGTGGTGTTCTCTAGCGAGTTGGAGCGCATCGAACCAACCACCTTCTGACCTGATTCCGCAAACGCCTTCGTCGT